TTAGATCATGTGAGCATGTCACCCGACGTGAAGTCCTTTTGGAATGCCGCGTTGACTGCAGAGTCATTTTATAAGGAAGATCCAGCCTATATCGCTGATAAGGCTCTAATTGAAAAGGTTGGTCCTGTCCAAGGTTTAGATTCCGTGCAAGTGTTTTTGCAAAGATCTATCGCTGTGGTAGATCATTGGAAGAAAAAGTGGGATAAAAATGTTGCACTGATGTCCAAGCTGAGGACCGAGAACGCCCAGGTTGGGTCACTAAATGCTGAGGTTGGTAGTTTAAAGGAAAAGTTGGAGGAAAACTCAAAGGCATTTGAGATTTCTGTGAGATCGAATAGGACATATGCGGCTAAGGTGGAGGACCTGTTAAAGAAGGTGAGTACCTTAGAAAAAGAAAAAGAAGTCCAAGCAGAGGCTGTGAAGACGTTGGAAAGGAAAGCAAAGGAGCGTGAGGGGAATATGCAGAGCTTAAAAGGCGAGATGGTGGAGCTTTACAAGAAGAATAAAGCCTGTCAAGACGTTATTGCTGCTAATGTGAGGAAGATTCAAGGAATGGAGAGTGAGAATAAGAGGCTAAAGAAAGAGATGGAGGCTACCGAGTATGAAGTAGTCGCAGAACATAAGAAGGGATTTTCTAAAGCCTTGCGATAGGTGAAGTGCATTGCCCCAAATGTTGACTTAAAAGAGGTTCATATCGCCAAGGATGTTTTCAAAGGAGAACTTGTTAATGAAGACGACAACCCTGATGATATAAGCGGCGAAGAGAATACTGAATAGCTTTGCTAATTTAATGGATATTAGGGTATTTTGCATGTAGGATTTATGCTTACTTTACTATTGCTTGCCAACGTATTCATAGGCACTTTATGTAATTGGTGACAATCTTGTGAAGTTTTGAATATTATTTACATTGCTATGCCCAGATTTGACTCAAACTTGGTCATGTCGTGAATTAAGACTAAGGCAAATAACTTGTGTTGAAAGTGATGAAATTGGCTCTTACGTGAACGATTTATCTAATATATGGATAAAATAGGATCAACATAAATTTGGTGGCTAAATCATAAATAATTTAGAAAGTTCGACTCAAACTTGGCCATATTATGAACTGAACGGAATTATTGCTCAAACTTGGCTGAATTATTGCTCAAAACTTGGCTAATGGCTCAAATTTGGCCAATTTTGAAATCTTGATTAATGTCATCTAGAAATTAATGGCCAAGGTTAATAATACTTGATTAATATTGACTCAAACTTGACCAAGTTTCAAATTGAAATTAACCTCGACTCATACTTGGACGAGTTGAATAACATTGGCTCAAACTTGGCCAAGTTTTAAATTGAAATTAACCTCGACTCATACTTGGACGAGTTGAATAACATTGGCTCAAATTTGGCCAAGTTTTGAATTAAAGATAACATCGACCCAGATTTGGGTGAATTTATTCATTATCGGCTCAGACTTGGCCGAGTTTCGAGTCAAAGATGATATCGACTCAGATGTTCATTATTGGCTCAGACTTAGCCAAGTTTCGAATTAAAGATAACGTCGACCCAGATTTGGACGAATTCGTTAACATCGGCTCAGATTTGGCCAATTTTTAAGTGTAATGAATTAAAAGTTAGCAACAAGTTAAAGCGCGAATTGAAAAAATTGGAAGGCAATAAAAGAGAAGAAATAAAATTGGAAGAAGAGAGAACTTGTAATATTGAGTTATATGTGCATTACATCTCTCTGGTTGACCTCAGGTATGCCTCGTTAAAACCTCTTCAGCCAAAACCCTTCTTTTTTACTGGGAAAAAAGACTGAAGTAGGAAAAAGAGTACATTACCTGGGTTTACACATTTCAACTAAAATAAAATTTCAAATGGGTGGCGTTCCAAGTTCTAGGAAGAACTTTGCCACTGAGCTCGGCTAGTCTATACGCTCTATTTTGTAGGAATTCTAGGATGCGAAAAGGACCTTCCCAATTGGCTGCGAACTTTCTTGCTGAGGTATCTTTCCTAGCGTCGCCTGTGGCCCTCAAGACGAGATCGCCCTCATGAAAGGATCTCGGTTTGAGCTTCGAGTTGTACCTCCGTGATGCTCGAAGTTTGCATGCTTCTTCTTGAACTCGGGCATGTTCCCTTGTTTCATCAAGTAAATCTCTGTCCAAGCTCAGTTGTTCTCCATTTTGGGACTCGGTAAATGTTAATCTTTTGTGACTCGGCTCGCCAACTTGAACGGGTATCATTGCATCGGAGCCATAGGTCAACCTATAGGGAGTTTCTTGAGTGGTGGTCTGTGGTGTGCAATGATATGCCTAAAGAACACTAGGTAACTCTTCAACCCACTCTCCTTTAGAAGATCCTAGCCTCTTCTTGAGTTCACGGAGAATCACTTTATTTGCTGCCTCAGCTTGGCCATTTGTTTGTGGGTGTTCTACTGAGGTGACTTTATGCTTGATTCCGAGTTGCTTCAAGAATTGCTCAAAAATTTTATCTACAAATTGCTTGCATTGTCTGTGGTGATTGCTTGAGGTAGGCCATACCTGCAAATGATTTTCTTCCACGTGAACCGCTGCACATTGGTTGCTGTAATCCGAGCTAAAGGTTCAGCTTCAATCCACTTTGTGAAATAATCAATCCCTACAACCAAAAATTTCAATTGGCCTTTGGCAATTGGGAAAGGACCGAGTATGTCCATACCCCACCACGCAAAGGGTCACGCTGATTGCATTGAGTGTAGTGCTGTTGCGGGTAACTGATGCACGTTGCCAAATTTCTGACAAGCTTGACATTTTTGTACATATGCTTTACAATCCGATCTCATAGTTGGCCAATAGTAGCCAGCTCAGACCACCCTTGCAGCCATGGACCGAGCTCCAGAATGCATGCCACAAATGCCTCTATGGATCTCACCCATTACGTACTCAGCTTGATCCGAGGTAAGGCACTTTAAAAGGGAGACTGAGAATCCCCTTTTGAACAACTCACCAGCTTCGAGTGTGAAATGGCAAGATTTGGCTTTGACCTTTGAAGCCTCAACTTTGTCACTCGGTAAAGTACCGTCTGTGAGATATTGCCAAATGCTTAACATCCAACTGGACTGACCAGGATTGTTAGCCAAAACTGCTACAGAATCATAGCTTGGTGCGCTAATTGTCTCCTGGATAATTGTTTTGTGTTGTCCTGGACGTTTGGTGCTGGCTAACTTGGATAAGAGGTCAGCTCTAACATTGTGTGCTCTTGGGACATGTTCGATCTGAAAATGGTCAAAAGAAGAGGTCAAATGAGATACCATAAGGTTGTACCTTTGCAGCTGAGGTTCTTTTGTTTGGTAGCTTCCTCCGACTTGCTCGGTAATTAATTTGGAATCGCTACAACATCTGAGCTTCTTAACACCAACATCTTTTGCGAGCCTTAAACCTGCAAGTAGAGCTTCATACTCTGCCTGGTTGTTAATAGCTCGGAAATTAAACTTAATTGCAAGTTCAATCATCATATCATCAAGGCCTTCAAGGATAATTCCGGCACCACTACCTTTGGTATTAGACGAGCCATCGACGTGTAAAATCCAACATTGATCCTCCAATGGGACGCTAGGGGTGAGCTCGGCTATGAAATCGGCAAGACATTGTGCTTTCAACGCTCCTCGGCTTTCATACTTGATTCCGTATTCAGATAGTTCGATTGACCAAGCTGTCATCTGACCTGCAAGATCAGGCTTCCGAAGTATCTGTTTGATGGGATAGTCGGTCTTGACCACGATTTGATGACTTTGGAAGTACGGCCGGAGCCGGCGAGCTGAGGTTATCAAGGCTAAGATCAGTTTCTCAATAGTTTGATACCTCTGCTCGGTTGCCTGCAAAACACGACTGATAAAGTAAATGGGAATTTGTTTCTTACCATCGGCTTGCATAAGTGCTGCACTGATTGCATTATCGGCAACAGCAAGGTACAACAAGAGATCAGCACGATCCTGAGATTTGGTTAGTATAGGAGGTGAACTCAGAAAACTTTTGAAACCCGAAAAAGCTTGTTCACATCGGGTATCCCAGCAAAAATCCTTGGGTTTCTTGAGCAAGCTAAAAATAGGCTTGGCCTTTTCTGCCATCTTGGGGATGAACCGAGATAAACTGACGAGCCTGCCCGCCAACCTCTGTACTTCTTTATGATTTTGGGGGCTCCTCATGTTGATCAACGCCTGACACTTGTCTGGATTTGCTTCTATCCCTCGGCAAGTAATCATAAATCCTAAAAATTTCCCACCTTGAACTCCAAAAACACATTTTTCAGGATTTAATCTCATGTTATGCTTTCTGACTTGTTGGAGGATCTCCTCGAGGTCTTGGGCGTGATCTACGGCTGACTTCGTTTTGATGACCATGTCATCAACGCAAACCTCAAGATTACGGCCGATCTGGTCAGCGAAGACCTTGTCCAGTAGTCTTTGATATGTTGCTCCAGCATTCTTAAGTCCAAATGGCATGACATGATAGCAGTAGTTGGCTTGTTCTGTGATAAAAGCAGTGTATTCTTCATCTGGGGGATACATAAGGATCTGGTTATAGCCTGAGTAGGCATCTAGGAAGCTCAGCATAGCATAACCCGAGGCTCCATCCACCAATCTGTCAATACTAGGTAAAGGGTATGCATCTTTTGGACAGACTTTATTCAGATCTGTATAGTCAACACACATACGCCACTTGCCGTTAGATTTCTTGACCATTACGACATTAGCTAGCCAAGTGGTGTATGTAATCTCTCTGATGAATCCTGCATTTAACAATTTTTTGAGTCTCAATTTTAACAGCTTCTCTTCTCTCGCCACCAATCTTTCTTTTCTTTTGAGATATTGGCTTTGCTTCTCTGTAAATGGCTAATTTGTGGCAAATAAAACTGGGGTCTATCCCTGGCATATCTGCACTGCTCCAGGCAAAAAGGTCAGCATTTTCAATTAAAATTGACATGATTTTACCTCGGAGCTCGGGCTCTGTGTGCTTTCCAATTTTGGTGCATTATCCCGGCCTTTTACCAATTTGGAACTCTAGCAAATCATCAACAGGACTAGGTCGGTGGTCGTACATGTCAACTCGGGGATCCAGCTCGACCATCTCGTTCTTATCAACATGGGCCACTGTGGTTGAACTTGTCGTTCTGAGTTGAGGTTTGGTGGGAGTGATCTTGAGACTTTCGGCGTAACATTTCCTTGCTAACTGTTGATTGGCTTTGATAGCTATGATTTGTCCATTGGTCCCCGGGAATTTCATGGTCAAATGAGGTGTAGATACTACAGCTCCCAACTGGTTCAGTGTCGGTCTTCCGATAAGGATGTTGTAAGAAGTGATGGCATCAACTAAGAGATATTTCACCAACACCCTTCTTGAATTCGAAGCTGTACCAAAAGAGGTTAGTAATTCAATAAACTCGCGAGTATGGACTCGCTCACGTGCGAAGCCTACAAGAGGCTCAGAGTGTGGTTGGATCATGCTGTGAGGAATATCAAGCTTTAAGAAAGTTGGCCAATATAGCACATCGGTAGAGCTGCCTTGATCAATTAATGTCTTCTGAACTTCCCAGTTGGCTACTTCGACCGAGATGACCATTGGATCATCTTGGTTTAGGCTTATGCCCTCGTAATCGTTATCAGTGAAGACAATAGGAGGAGTGGGTATGTCTGGCTTAAATTCCAAATTGGAGCAGTTGTCAACATTGTGGACATTGCGGAGATGCCGCTTTCGAGCAGAATTAGAACTTCCTCCTCCAACAAACCCACCAGCAATAGTGTTGATAACGCCACGTATGTTGTTCCCCTCAGAGGATTTATCAGCGTGTTGTGGGTCGGCGCTATTTGCACTTGGTTTGCTTTCCTCATGGGCATTGGTTTGGTGGTAATTGTGGTGCTCAGATCGGCCTTGGTAATTTGGATAGCGCCCTTGATATCGGCCTGGATGTCGGTCGCGTCCTCTACCACGTCCTCTAAAGCCTCCATGAGAAGTCTGTCCGCGTTGGATATATTGCCCGAGGTGACCAGCCTGGATAAGTTCTTCTATGCGATCTTTGAGACTCCAACACTCCTCTATTGTATGCCCGTAATTTCGGTGATAGCGGCAATGCTTGCTCTTGTCGGCATTGGCCGAGTTGTGCGCGAGTGGAGGTAGAGAGATCAAATCTGCATGGTTAGCTTCCTCTAAAATATTAATACGAGGAGCGTTAAGAGGGGTATAAAATTCATACCTGGGACCTTGTGACTGACGAGGTCTTTTTGATCTCTGGTCGACATGAGTTTTGGACTTCTCCCTGGTACTAGACTCCCCTTTGCCAGCGAGGTCATCTCGGATATGGTTACGAAACTCAGCATGCTCTTCCATCTGAATATATCTGGCAGCGCGTGCTCGAAGTTCATCCATGGTGGCTGGTTGGTGTCGGCAAAGACTGTCAACGAAAGGTCCAGGTTTAAGTGCCATCAGCATGGAATGGAGGGCGACTTCAGGATTAAGGTTTCGGATTTTGATGGAAACGTTAGCAAATCGCTCCATAAAATGCCTGAGGGATTCATCATCCTGTTGTCGCAAATTGGACAGCGCTGCCGAGGTGATATGATGAGGTCTGCTGGTAGCGTATTGGGCAGAGAAAAGGCAGACCAAGGTATCGAAATTGTCTACTGATCTGGGTGGTAGTTGTGTGTACCAACTGAGAGCGGCTCCTTTGAGTGAAGTTGGGAACACGCGACACATAATGGCATCGTCATTTGTGTACAGGTTAATCTGGGTAACATACGCATCAATGTGTTCATCGGGATCAGTAGTTCCATCATATCTGTCGATATTTAATGGCTTCCAAGTATTTGGAAGGGGAACTTCCATTATTCCATCAACGAAGGGATGTCGTCGAGTGGAAAGAGGATCATGATCAGGGCGGGTGATGTGGGTTTGCGCGAATCGGTGAGTTCGGCTGGGTTGAGGAGGGTACGTAGGATCAGGATAAGACTGATATTCTTCCGTGGTTGGTGGAGCATGGCTAGCATGGTGAGTGTATGGTGGTGGTGGATTTTGTTGCCATTGAGCTCAGAACGCGGCTTGTTCAGCGCGTAACTGTTGTAAGTCGGCTTCGTGCTGTTTTCGAAGGTTTTCCATCGCCGCCGCATGTTGTTGCTGCATTAATTCAATTTGTTCGAGTAACCGTCGTAAGGCAGGGTTATCTTCCATAGTGGGTATATTTGGGCGAGGTATGCTTGTTGCTCTGTTGGTCTGGCTTCGGGTTGAAACCATAAGGGTGAAGGAGGAAAAGTTTTATCAGGCCCTCCTTCTAGCGCCAAATGTACTTACACAAATCAGGTCGTCTTCCTAACTCGAATAAGTCGTCTCCCTTGCTGAGCCTGGCCGAGATTGTACGAAGTTGATTGATGAGTTGAATTCCTTCTCTCCGGTCTCCTTGCTCGGGCGTCTCGGATGTACCTGCAAAAAGGACTCTGACGATCAAGTTAATCCTCATCCATTGTGTATTCTCATTCTTATCGTTTACCTGGGTTGTGCGGTTTTTCGATGTAACCGCCATAGCAGTTGTCCGAGGTGAGTTAATTATGGTTAGGTCGATCATTATTGGCACGTGTTATATATTTGATGTTGTTTATATATTGAGATATCGGTTTCGTTGATCTCAGGGTTTAAGTCAACTTACACTGGCCGATATGTCATATTAGGATCTCGGTATGACCTCGGTGGACCTCGGTGGTGGTACAACAATATTTAAGCTCAAAATGAAAACAAGATGCGAGAAAAGAAATTTTTATTCCAAGTCCCATGCATACTGAACATGCTTTCACCACCATCACTACCACCGTCAAATAAAAAAGTAGCAACCCCCCATGTTGTCCTTTACTGAATCGCACACTACATGTCTAATGAGTTAATAAGAAAGCACAATAGGAAACAACATACACAATCATTTAGGATTTTAATGTTGCGAGTCCTCGCTCAATGACAGAAATGAAATATTCAAATTCCCCACTTCTAAAAACCAAGCCAAGCTCTAATCCTCCTTCTTTGTCCCCACTTTCAGCAAGAGACATGCACTTAGGGGAATGTACCATCTCGACTTTGGTAGGTTTTCCAAACCCAAAATCAGTCTCATAAACAGTGAAGTTAGGTGACCCTGTAACTAGTACCGTATTTCCCAATACAGATATCTTCCTCAATAATGCCCTCCAATTTTCTGCACCTTTAAGAGGTTCAGTTTTCATATCAGTTATTGCTCTTGCAATAGCCTTCACCGCCTTCAAAAAACCACCTTCTCCCTTGAGCTCCTTTCTCTTGAGCACTGCATAACATTTTGTTAAGCAATTTCCGAAGTACGTTGCCGGTACAGGGTACTCAAAGCGATCTCTACAATCTGCTGCAAAACGAAAGTACTCCTCTTTTACCTCTTCTCCTTCTTCATCATTATCATCATCTCTATGTTTTGCTTTCACTAAGCTAACCCACACGAAAGCACACGTCACCACAAATTTTGATAGATATTGTGGTGCTTTGAATTCATCTTTTTCTTTCCTCTGATTCAGCACATATCTTTTCAGCCCCTCGATATCATCTCTTCCAAACACAATTGTTGCTTTGGCATAATCTTCATTATTTCCAGTGGAAATCTCAGAAGTAGTGGTTGTCTTACCTACGAGTTTGTCCTTCCAAGTTGACCTCTCTTCAAAATAGTTTCCCAAGAAAATAGCCTCGAGTCCCTTGGGGTCCTTCAACACTTCCCTATCAAAGCAAGGTGGAGACTTCTCCACAAGTGTCAAGTCAACGCCACCGCTTAGACAGATGGAAGACCAAGACTTCATGAAATGGCTGCAACACCTATCATCCATCATGTGGCAATAAGTGATGGCTATGCAAAGGCCACGGTTGGGGAAAACCGTGACTTGCAAGGCCAACAATGGGAAAACGAACTTGCCATCATGCGTGTTTGTGCATGTTAACTTTGGAACCAAGTGATCCAAGTCCTTGAGACTTTTGGGGTGGTTTGAGGAAAGATGGTTGAAATCATCTCTGGACTCGATGATGGTTAAGGTGACAGAGTCATGATCGGTGCAACGAATGAAGGGCTTGTGGGGTGGTGGAGGACAGAGGAGATTTCCAGCAAGAGGGAAGAAACGTTCAAGTGTAAGAGAGAGAGAGTGTTTGAGAGAGGGAAGTGTAGTTTGGTAGAAAATGTGTGTTGGGTGGGAAAAGTGATAGAAGAATTGGCGTCTCACATAAATAGGACCTGTCAAAGGCAAATCTAGGAATGTGAGGGGAAGAGAGGTGGTTGTTGTCACTGCTGGAGTAACCTCAGATTTCTCAACAAGCTTATGTGCACTAGGCTCTGCCATTTGTTCAAACAATATACGAGATATGATGATGATTGATGAGATGCAAGGTTATTGAAGAGAGGCATTCATATATATCCTCTTGGTTTCGTTGATGGATTCAAAACTCCAAGTTAAAGTTCTCGGAACGTATATGCCACGTCTAGTTATGTGGAAAAATTATTCTAACGTCAAACTTTCTAATATCATTCGTCAGCGTAGTTGCAAAATAGAATTACAATTCTTAATGTTATGGAGGACAGCAAAAGTTCAATGGGGGAATGTCTTCCAACATGTCAACGCATTAGTTGTTGTTTAATTAATTGTAATTACATAATGATAATTGAATCCAGGAAGACCAATTTTTACATGAAAACTTTACAACAACTTATGCAACATTTTTTTTTAATCTATAACTCTCAGTCAATAATAAATATAATAATGCAATGATAAAAAAAAAAAAAAGTAGAGATAAAAAATAATGTCATATACAATTTTATTTACATTATATCATTACATTTTTTATAATAAATGTAATTATTTTAATTTTGAGAGAGTATTTTTAAAAGACAAAATTTAGATACAATAAATATCATACTACTAATATTATTCTCTAATTAAAATTAGAATTTTTCATGGATAATATGTATATTTATAATAAATTATTTCATTATATGTAGACATGATAGTAAATTCAGCGCATGTTTAGAATAGAGTTAAAAAAGGTGTATCTTCACTATCCATTTGATTTAACCCTCTAAATTTTATAATATTTAAATATTTTTAAAATAAAAAATTTTAAAAGAAATTTAATAGTTATATTTTTCAAAATAAAGAGTAAATTTTGAAATTTAAAAAATATTTAAATAAAATCCTATCAAAACACACTTTAAATAAATCTTAATAGTCATTATTTTCACCATATTATAGGCATTCACAATGAATATATATATCATCCACGTGATTTTAGAGGAGGTGATTTAGTAAAGAATGGAAAAGAAAGAGAGGGATTATAAGAGAATTAAAAAAAATGTTTGGAAAAGATGATTTAAGTAAATTTGTGAAGGAATTATGGGAGGAATCATATGAATTTATTTTCACTTTTTTAAGTATAAATTTGTGTGAAATTTTTACCAAAAACATATATAAACAAGTCTACTCTTATATTATTGTCTAAATAATTGATTAATAAAAAATAAAAATATAATTATTTAAATAACATATTTTACATGGAAATTTAATTATTTAAAATATAATTTTAAAATAGAATTTCTCTTTATTTTCTATCAAATCAAATTTTCATTTATTCTCTTGCACTACCGTCAATGCTTCACCCTTTTCTAAACAAAGCAGAAAGGTATTGTAGGAAATGAAAAGCAATTTCGTTTTTCTTTCCATGTCTTTGTGCTCTTTCTAAACAACTGTTTCCGTGGGGTCAATTTCTCTCAAACCGAACATGAAAGTACAGTGGACTTCGTAATTTGAGGGATGCAATGACCGAGGATTTTCTTGCACACAGATTCTGCGCAAGTGATGGGATGAAACTAGGAAATTTCTGGATGGATCATAATAACTTAGTCCAAGTCATGTTCGTACGCTAGTAACGCTGCAGGCCTCCTCCTCCTTTCTATCTCATTGCTCCCAACCCAATTTTCTGCTTAATTATTGTATAATTCACTATTAAAATGTGAAAAACATTATAATTTTTTTATAGTTTTCTTTATCAAACTAATCTTGCTTTCAAAGGATCTCATACACGTTGATTCTTCTAGTCAAGGGTGATGATGATTAAAGTGCACATGTTGGTCCAAAGCGATAGTGACGATGAAGGGTATCTACAAAAAGATACTAACGCACAAACGATGATGCATGATCAACCCGTCCAAGGATTGCGATTAGAAAATGTCATTTTTAAAACAGATAACAAGTTGGTTGTTCACATTATTAAGTCAAGCAAGTTTCACAGTTATAAGTTTGGATATATCCTGTGTAAAATACTCATATTTGAAACTACTCAAGTTGTGTTTTTGACTATAAAAAGTTAGTTAGAGTAAAAAACTGTTTTCTCATATTTGAAATAAAAAAATATAAAACTCAAACAACGTATAAAGCTATATTTCGATTTATTTATTTGTTTTGCAAAGAGACTGCTCCTACTGGTATCATCATAATCTTTTTTTATTTATTTTGTTTTGTTTTCTTTTGGATATAGGTGACTTTGACAATGCTTTTGTAGTATGAAACCTGTTTAAATTTGATTCAACTTTACAGTTTAATTAAATCACTTAAGTAAAAAGTGTTTCTACTATTAAAGACAATTTAGCTTAACGGTATTTTTTTTAATATATATATATATATATATATATATATATTAGGAGTATATTATAAGTGTCAAACAAGATTTTTTTTAATGGTGGTTCAGTTTTATTTTTGGGCTATGTACTATGTAGGATTACTCAATCACACGAGACCATATCCAAGCCCAAACATATATAATTCCCATAGTGACCTAATTACTCCCAAACCCAGATGGACTAGCCCGAGACCCACTAGACTCGATGACTATTTTTATTTTTGACTAAATTATATTTTTTATTTCTTTATTTTATTAATTTATAATTTTAATATTTTATTTTTTAAAAAATATTATTTATTCTTTTTATTTTTAAAAATATGAAATTTTGACTTCTTATTAAATTAACATCTGCCAATCGCTAAATTTTAACATTTATTCACATTTAAGTAATACGATATTTATGAACATGACATTTAAAAATAAAAAAAATTATATATAAATAAAATTAATATTAATAAAATAAATATTAGTTATTCATAAAACTAAATGTAAATGAATTTTTTATGTTATTTTTTATTTGTATTCATATATTTTATATTATTAAATATTATATTATTTAAGTGATGATAAATTATTAAATAATATCAAAATTTAAGATTAAAAAATACTAAATTGGTAGAAAAATTAAATTTTTATATTTTACAAAATAAAGAGATTTAATATTTTTATTTTAAAATAAAAGGATAAAATTATAGATGGATAAAAATAAAATGATAAAAATGTAATGTAACCTTTAATCTTGTTTGTTGTGCAATGTGAGTACCACGTGTTATTTACTGGTAATAGAACTATTAGTCTTTCCTTTTAAAATAACCCTTGTAATTTTGTGTTTTGGAATTATGAATGAAGAAGGAATTTCATTTCCTGGTTTATTTTCCTTAGTTAGTAATTTCTTCCTGTCCCGTTCTCAAGCTTTCAACACTATTTTTATGTCATTGTAGGGTAACTGCCTCTCAGCCTGTTTAAAAAAGAGACTTTAAAAATAAAATATTAATTAAATAAAGAATATTTTAGATGATAACATTAAATAATATAAAATTTACTAAAATTTGTTTTGTAATTGAGATTCACGTTCATAATTTTTTTTTATTTGATATCAAAAGAAGTGTTTTTCTTTTCAAGCCTGTTCAAGTTTTATCCAAAGCTCAAGAATTGACTTAACCCATAATTAACCTAAGACAACACATTCCATAAGAACCCACGAACTAGGTTGATCTTTTTAACTAACTCTCACAGTTTCCTCTCAAGTTGATGACATAATTATTTTCTTTCTCTCAAATCACTCATAGTGAATACAATATTATTTAACAGTTAATAAATCAACATTTAGCAGAAAAATCAAATTTGTAATTTTTATAAAATTATGAATTTAAAAGTTGAGAGATCAAAATTGAAAATTAGATATTATAGGATTAAAAAGTTTAATTTAAACTTATATGTTTTTTTTTAAATTATAAAGGGATCCCTTATTTATACTACAAGAAAAATCTAAATTACCGATAAATAATTTTTGACGGATACAAATTTGGTTGAAAATTTATATTTTCGACGGAAAAAAAAAATTGTAGTAAAAGTTATATTACCAGCGGATAATTTCTGACAGATACAAATCTGACGGAAAATTTACACTTCCGACGGATACAAATGTGTCAGAAAATTTATATTTTTGATAGAAAAAAAATTCATAAAAAAAGTTATATTACTAATAAAATATTTTTGACAAATTTATATTTGTCGAAAATATAAGAATTTTTGATGAAAATTGGCAGTCATATATTAAAAAAGATCATCAATAAAATTATATATATATATATATATATATATATACAGAGAGAGAGAGAGAGGAGGAATCAAATGACTCACAAAGTAACTCTTAGTAAAGTTACTCCGTTCAATAACTCATGATGTATGTTGAATTTCATCGATCCAATTATTAAATTAAAAGTTATTAAATTTTACTAATAATTAATATATAAAAAATTGATTAACTTTGGAATAAATTATTTACAAATAATATAGTTGAAAAATTAATTATTTTAAATTATTTAACTAGAATCTTATTGACAATCTACTATATGATCTTTATATTTTTGTATAACTAATATTTGGTTTTAAATTTGATATGAAAATATTATGATATAATTAGATAAGATTTTAAATTCGTATTTTATTAATGGTTGATAATTAAAAAATAAAACAATGATAAATACATTATTTAAATTTTATATCTTAGATTTAAAATAAATAAATATATTAAGTTAATTAATAATTTATTAATAACCATCAAATCTATATTGATTTTGGGCGCTAGAAAGTGTAGTCACTTTCTAATAGTTTAAAATAGTCACATTTTTTGACAATTTAAAATTTTAAAAAATATATTTTTGTTTGACTTGCCTCACATTTTTTAATAGTTTTAGACCACAAAAAAATACACTTCATTTTATATTAATTATAATTTTAATCTGTCATATTTTTATTATTTTAAAAATATACTTATAGTTATTTTTAAAAGTGCATTCTTATTATAATGGACAAATAATAGCATATATTTTTTAGATTTTATCAAATTATTATTTAAATTTGTCACTAATTATATTAATCATTTGAAATGAACAATTATTGTATTATATTATTATTTAATCCAAATAACTTTTGAGTAATAATTTTACTTATCCAATTCTAAAATCACTTATTTTAGTAATTTCTACATATAATTTTGATAATATTTATGTATTTTCTAAGCTTATTGTATTGGGAT